AACTGAGAGAAGCACCCCAAGTTCTTGAAGTGAGTCAAGTACCCTCGAGGGCTACTAGGCCTGTGTTTCCCAGGGGGCACAGTGCCAGAATCAAGCCCATCCCTGGGTGGTGGCCGCTCTACCCTCAGGCTAGCGGGTGTGCTCCAGGAAGGGGGTCAGCCAGAGGTGGGTGGCTCAGCACAGGAGCACCCCCTACTGGCCTGCCACACTAAGTGTAACATGCAGTGTGGCCCCACCAACAGCTATTGTAAGTTTTCTCTTTTTTTTACAGAGTATTTTACATCTCCTTTAAATATATGCTACTGTCAAAACAAGGAGGGCAGTGGGAAGAAAGAAGTGGCCAGCTGTGTGTGTACTTGGCAGTTAATTTCCATCTCTCTTCAATGCAGTTAACATCATTTTCTGAATTAACACAGTTTTCTGAATTAACCTTCCTACAAATCCTTATAGGCTTTCAAAGTACCAGATAGCACAGGAGACTCGTATTCTCTCTATCCATAGACATGTTTCATTGCCAGAGCAAATCCAGACTGCCCATCCATGCACCTGAATACTGACCTCGGAGAATGATAGTTTGTTATCCATTTATTTTCAATCCTTGACTTCAGTTTTTATAGTGATTTCTATAATGCAGAAGCCTATCCCACAGACACAGGATGGAGAGCACCAGAATAATTTTATTTGGGTCATCAAACAGATGATTGCAACTGTCAGTCATTCCAGCCTTGGCTGCAGTCATACTGGCAACCTAGAGGTTAAAGGCTCTGTATTCTATTATTGTATTTCAACTGTTATGCTTCATCCTATATTGGAAGGCTAGGATTTCTGTACCATTCTGTTCTTTTTGTGTTAGAAAACAATTTTTGCCTGTTTTTCCTAGAGCTGAAACGTCTCATTTATATTTGTTTAACAAACAAAACTTGTGATTCAGTTGTTTATTAAGCCAGAATAACTATGTGCCAGCATTAATGTAAGTGCCAACATAACTTTGGAAATTGTGGGAGAATGATTATTGTAATAATGTTTCAGGTTCTGCTATTAGTCTCTCCCTCTCCCTGTCCTCCACCCAACCTCATAATGTAGTAGCTGAATTAAAAAAAATACTTCTGATGAGTTTTACCATTTTCCTATTACTTTCTCTGTCTTGTCAGATGTGTACTTTTGCCCGGGTCTTGTTCTAGTCGTCCATGCAGTGGGTTTGTTTATTCTTTTTAAATGCACGGAGTTAAATACAGTCTTCATTTAAACACAAATAAGGTACATTTAAGTTTAATATTTTATGTATTTCTTCATTGCAGAGAACAGATCCACAGCTCCTTGCTCAATTCTATTATGCAGATGAAGAACTGAATCAAGTAGCAGCTGAACTAGACAGTTTGGATGGAAGAAAAGACCCGCAAAGATGCACTCTGTTGGTCAACCAGTTTCGCTCTTGTCAGGTAATCAGAATAGCATGTTCTGGCTTGGTTTATATTTAATTTAGTTTATCCAGATGCATTGTCCAGTTTTCTTAATCACGAAACCCTTAGGGAATATCTTTTTGGAATTATTTGTAAAACTAAATTTGTCTTTATATTTGCTTTCAAATAATTTTGCATAAATGCAATCTATGAACAACATCCCTTTGAATTAACTGGATAAATATTTATAAACCATTCAGTTTAGGTTTATTATTTTTTCTTAAGAGTATTTAATATTAACTGATATGAATACAAGAGTACTGAATACAGTGGTCAGAGTTCATAATGGCTACGGAAATCTGTAATGTTGTAGGATTTTAGTATTCAATACTGACCTCTTTTGTAAATATTGATCTCTTAAATGAAATCTACCCTATCCACAGTAACATTATAGTACGTGTGTGCGCGCGCGTGCATATGTGTGTGCGTGTGCATACATATGACGATTGTTTCAGTACAGTCCAAAGGCAAACAGCTGGGAGGCTGCAAAGATCAATTAGACATTAGAGCTAGACTTGATGATCTGTGAATCTATGATTGATCCATTTTACAAATCAAATAAAAAAGAAACTAGAAATTGTACTTTTCCCTGTTGCATAAATCATTAATCAAAACTCTATCTTTATATTTTTATTGTATTTTCTAATTTATTAAAGGATAGCAAACTCAGGGAAAAAATTGTAATTACTCATTGAGTCACAGGGCAGACATTTAGGATGGATTGCATTAATTAATCTTTGAAGGGCTCAGAATTAAGGACTAGTCTAAGATTGTGTAGAAATGCATTCTATTTTGTGTAACTAAATATGACAATAAATTACAACTGATAGGGATTTTATTGTATCAAAAGTTCAATGCTTCTTTCAGCAGAGAAGTGTGCATCAAATCAGCCTCTCACAGATTGAGATTTTGAGGCAGAGAAGTTTGCATGCTATTAAAGACCTTGAGAGTGGTGTCATCTGGAGTTTTGTACTCCTGGTAGGGTCATCCATGGCATCAAGGTTAGGAATGAAGTTTTCAGTCTAATAGTGATCCAAAAATAAAATTGCTAAATGGTAGAGCAGACAGATGAAAGGTTGAAAGTGGTTTTCAAATAAGATGAAAGCTGCAGAAAATAGAAACCTCTGGTCACCTAGGATTTCCTTGCCATTGGATTAAGTATCATGCTGGCAAAGTATCATGTGGTTGCTTGTGTGCAGTGGCATCCCCACATTAATAGAAGACCCACATAGGTGTCTTCTGTCCACAGCAAGTCCTACAGTGATGTACGTGGGGCAATAGAGGCAGGTGCTAGTGACTACTGGCAGACCCTTGTTATGCATCTGCAATGGAGGTGATGATTGCATGATGGTTGTTTTGTACTTGGAACTGAGACAGACATGCAATTTGGCAACTGTGCTCATGACTGAGTAGACCTATTTAGGATCTGCTCTGTTCATCCTGTATGGGGACGGGGCTAGAAAGGGTGTTCTCAACATAGTCTGTTTCATTTCACCTGACTAAAAAGCCATGTCCAGTGATATCACTCTCTGTGGTCCAAATCAAGTAATGAAGTTTACAACTTGGAATGTCTGTACCTTGGAACTGACCATCAAGAGTGACAAACTGGAGAAAAGAACAGCACTTGTGGTCACAGAACTTGCATGAGTTGCTATTGACATTGCTGCACTTAATGAGACCAGACGCAGAGGAGAGGGGCTGAATGCTTGGCAGAATGCCATGAACTCCAAACAGAAGCAAGATATTGATCACCTTATTAATTTATTTATAAGCAAGTTGGAAAAAAGGTATCTCAGTAACTGCAGATCATTATTATGAAAATATGAATGAACAGATTCCCACTGACCTGAGAGTTGCCAGAATCATTACTATATTCAAGAAAGGGGATGGATTGGATTGCAGTAATTATTGTTCTATTGTACTCCTGTCCATAGCTGAGAAGATCCTTGCCCTCATCCTCCTCAGTAGACTCACTTGCCTCACTGAGAACGTTCCACCCAAGTTTCAGTGTGGTTTCAGACCACTTAGAGGTACAATAGTTATGATCTTTGTTGCTAGACAGCTGTAGGAGAAATGAGCAATGCAGAGATCTTTAAATGGCCTTTATTAACCTGACTAAGGCCTCTGATTCAATCAAAGGAGAGGCTTGGTGGAAGATCCTGATGAGATTTGGATTCTTGCCACAATTTGTTCCCATTATCAGTAGCTGTACCCCTTTCCCTGCTGCCTGCCTGGAGGCATGTGTGCACCTGCCACCAGCCATGCGCTCTGCAGACCTTAGTGCAGCAGCTTGCAGCCACCCCACCACCTGCTGCGCCCCTCTCCTGCTGGCCTCAAAGATGATGCAAGTTGTGGGATGGTAGATTTTAAGACTTATGGTTGGGAGCTGAAGAAAGTATCTCTGTCGGTAGCATAACCAGGTGGGCAAGAGAGAAACTTGCCCTAGATGCCAAGTTAGGTGGGGTGCTGGAATCTCCCCAACACCCCCACGGAGATGGTGCCCCGGCAGCACTGCTGGGCTGGGAACTCCAAAACAGTCCCTGGCTGCTGTTTCTTTAAGAGCAACAGAACTGAGGTGGGAAGAGTATGGTGGTGGCAGCAGTTCTGCCAGGACTGTGATGGAGTCTCATCCTGGCAGTACTCCTGGGGAGTGGACTCTTGGCCCGCACCTACTCTCAGAATCCATGTGCCGCCCCCCCTCAGAATGTACCTCCTGCCACCGCATGCTATTAGAGGAGCCCCCACTGCTCGTGGAACCATGTTTCCCTCGTCTACTCCTTCCCCTGCAACCCTGCTCTCCTGCATGGTTTGCTCTCGGTGCCAACCTGGTTTGTTAAGCCATTGGTCTCTGAAGTGAAACGTGTCTGATTTCTCTTGCATAACTCAAGTAAAAGCCCTACAAGCTTGACCCAAAGCAGCCAAAATCCAAAGTTCACTGGGCTCAGGTGACCAGTAGAACTTCCCTTTAAGGTGTACACTTTCTTTCAGAGTCAAGGGAAGTAATTGGAAGCCTACAAAGGAATGTAAAAGCTTCCTAACAGGAAATGGTAAGGGAGTAGAAACAAAAGTTCACTCACACCTCTCCCAAATTAAAGAGAGTTAATTAATTCTTAGAAGGATCTTAAAGAGAATGCATTGACGAGTCCATTGTTGTTGTGGCTAAAATTGCTTACCATTGCTAAGAACAATCAGATTGCTAAGATTTGCTAAAACAGAGTTGCTAGGCTGGTGGAAAAATTCTTTCCACTAATCAGGTTAAAATGACATTGAAGAACAGTGCACTATCAGCATATCAAGTGCCTACATTAAGCTAGCTGATTCTATGGACAAAAGGAAAAAATGTTTAATGCACTTGGTACTCTCCTTCCTAATACCTTTAAAAGAATATTGCATAGATTTTTGGGAGGCTGTTTCCAGAGAAGCAGCTGAAAGTCAATTGTTACCTTAAGAGAGATATTTAGTTGTCTTAGTTTGCTGTTTGCAATTTCTGAAATGTTACTACTATGCTATCACCAGTAAAGTCATGGACTGTAGAAGACTTCTATAAGGAAAACAGCAAATCCAGTGTTTGTCAAGACTTCATGATGGTTTGAGTTTTTAGTATTGCTCTATTTAAAAGAACTTCAATTTGCACACCACTGGAAAAAGCAAGATCTAATTTGCTTCTGGGCAAGCTTCATGCTCTAGCATTTAAGAGCACTAGTGTTGTCACAGGGTGCAAAAAGCAGTACAACAATGGAGTCAAAGAGCAATTTCAGGAAAGGAAAAAGTATTCCATCCCTACTGATTGGAATAATACAGCCATTAAGTTGCTTCCATCAAGGATGTGGGTCATCTTAACCTCTACATGGTCTCGGACAGTAGGATTCAATCTTTGCAGGTTAGTCTGAGCTGCAGAGATTAACCTGAGAAACAAGTGAACAGACATTTATTTTTGTTTCAGGAAATGCATCCGTACACCTGCAGTGGCTCAGGCCAGAAGCTGGGTGGAGTGCGGGGGGAGGAGGACTAGGGCATGTCTCCCAGTCTACCAGCTGCTACCAAAGGGAAGGGACGAAGCTCCAAAGCTTTTCCTCCCCTCCCTTCTTGGGTGGAGGGGCAGGGTCAGGCCCTAGCTTGGGGCTGAGGCCAGGGGGAGGGGTGATTTAAGCACTCTGTGGCCTGCATGAGACCTCAGCTTAGGTTCATGGGTGGGGAAAAGGTAGTGGCATTGAATTCATAAGAGCTTGAGCAAGAATAGTCCATTCTCTGAAGGGAGCTACATGTATTGAACACGGCAATATACAACCTCAAGCACACAGCTAAGAACAAAGCTAAGATATAGCCCAGTAAAACACAGTGAGAGCACACACAGCTTAGTCTAACTTAAAATGGAATGTAATAAACCAACAAGACAAGAGAAAGCCTTGCATAAGTCTTACGTAAACCTGAGGGCAGAGTGTCTCCTTATAGCCAGGTATTCAGAAAGTCCTTCTTGGAGAATCTCTACTTGGGTTTTTACAGGCACATTTGC